GGCCAATTAGCATTTCTCATAATTCATCATTTAGATTTCAAAGCAGCATTTTGTACATTCAAACTTAAGAACTAAGAAAATTTCATCAACTCCAATGCACCTTAAAAATAATTATTACAAATTCAGAGGCGTTTAGATGTCAAACTTCAATGCAAACGAACATGCCTTTACTGTGTCTTACACACTCTTGTGTTCTGTGTTTTCATTTTTCTCAAGATACAAGAACATAAGATGCAATGAGGCATATATGAGAACTGATGTGGGGTGATCCAACCCAACCCATTTGGGGCTGGGAGAACTAACCCACGAGCGCCAGATCAGGGAACGAGATCCGCTACAGCAGGGGTTGCCCTGCCCCCATCGTATAGAGCCAACTGCGATGCATTCACATGACCCTGCCAAACCCGTTGCAAGCCCTCGTATGGCTCCCATTTCAGGCATTCATCTCCACCTACCTCCAGGCAGCTCAAGTATAAATAGGGGTACCCCCCTCCAGGTAAGGGGGTTACAAAATACTTAAGACCAACAGCTATTGTCATAAGGGCTATTGCAATAACTGTTGTTGTGACTTTATTCTGGAACTGCCTACTAGGATCCTGTCCTGGTACTCTCCCTTTGTACCATGTACTAACTTGACCGTCGGAGACTCCACCTCGGCCTACACACCTTGGCTTCAGTAGCAACCTCTCCGAATCCTCAAAGCCTTTGGTTACCCTTCGGAGCCCAAGGGCAAAATTACTTTATTGTCATCGACCATTCTGAGCATCAACAATTGGCGCTATCTGTAGGAACGACACTGATACGTTCCCCGAAAGAACTATAGCAAGTTAACAAGTCCCCAAGCTCCGACCAATCAACATGGTACAAAGAACGAGGAATACACAAAATCTTGTCACCAATGAACAGTTCCAGGCCATGCTCGACCACCTGGAATATTTGACACAGCGAGTCAAGCAAAACTTCCCCCAAGCAGGAGGTTGCCCCCAAGGTGACCGCCCCACCGAGGAGTCAACACAGCGAGGTCGGTACAGGTCCACCACCTAGTCGGCCTCCAGCCTCGGCCACATGGAGTGGGCCGAGTCCTCAGAGTCTGGCAACAGTCACCCGACCGAGAGGTACACTACCCTAACTAGTTGTCAAACGTGGTTATGGTAAAGAAAGCTAACGGGAAATGGCAGATCTGTATTGATTCACAGACCTTAACCGAGCCTGCCCCAAGGACATTTTTCCTTTGCCGAGGATAGACCACCTCGTTGACGCCACTGTAGGGTACGAGCTGCTTAGCTTCATGGGTGCCTTCTCTGGATACAATCAGATAAAGATGCACCCAAATGATGAAGAGAAAACCTCATTCATCACCGAGCATGGCACATACTGCTACCGTGTGATGCCGTTTGGCCTCAAGAATGCTAGGGCCACCTACCAGTGCCTTGTCAACAAGGTGTTCAAAGAGCAGATGGGGAGGAATGTCGAAACCTATGTGGATGACATGGTAGTGAAGAGCCAGAGGGTTGAGACCCATGTCTCGAACCTAGCCGAGACCTTTGACACCTTGCGGAAGTATAACATGAAACTTAACCCCAGCAAGTGTGCCTTCGGCTTTACATCAGGAAAATTCCTAGGTTTCGTCGTCACTTAGAGAGGCATTGAGGCTAATTTTGAGAAGATACAGGCCATAGTAGATATTGCACCCCGCAGACGGTGAAGGAGACCCAAAAACTCATCGGCCGAATAGCAGCCCTCAATCGCTTCATGTCAAGAAGCTGAAAGAGTTCTAGTGGACGGAGGAGTGCCAATGTGCCTTTAACGAGCTCAAGGCATACTTTACTTCGCCTCCCCTTCTCACCCGGCTGGCCGAGGGGGAAACCCTATACCTATACCTCTCGATCGGAGATGAAGCAATCAGTTCAGTCCTCTTAAGGAAGATGGCGTGCAGAATCTGGTATACTATGCCAGTAAGGTCCTTTGCGATGTCGACACTAGGTACCCTGAGATAAAAAAGTTGGCTTTAGCCCTCGTGATTTCGACAATGAAACTTTGGCCATATTTCTAGGCCCACACTATAGTGGTCCGGATGAACCAGCCCCTCAAGGCCATCCTTGCCAAACTTGAGACCTCGGAACACCTGACGAAATGGGCCATCGAACTGTCGGAGTTTGACATCCAATACCAACTGAGGCCCGCGACCAAAGCACAAGCCCTGGTAGATTTTATAGTAGAGTGCACCTTCAGCCGAGCCCTTCGCTAGCCCCCTGAAAATGTTGAGGGGGATCATGTGGATGATGAGGCTCAACCTCGATGGAAGCTCTTTGTCGATGGTTCCTCCAATGCTAAAGAAAGCAAAGCATGCCTCATCCTCCTCAAACCAAATGATATTGTCCTGGAGTATGCGCTAAGGTTCGACTTTCAAGCAGTGAACAACGAAGCTGAGTACGAGGCCCTCCTCGCTGGTTTCCAGCTTGCTAGGGACCTTGGCTCCTCACATGTCAAAGTCTTCAGCGACTCTCGGCTGGTGATGAATCAAGTGAAAGGAAAGTATGAGGCTAGAGAACAAAGCATGTCCAAGTACCTCGCCAAAGTCCAAGATCTAACCCGCCACTTTCAACGCTTCTCCCTACAATGGGTCCTGCGAGCCAAGAACGCACGAGCCGATGCTCTCTCCAAGTTGACAAATACCTTGAGTGGATCCCTCGACTGGACCGTACACGTCAAAAAGCTACTTCGGCCCTCCATCGAAGAAGTCCAAGTGCTCCCCATAGAGGCCAAACCTTCATGGATGGATCTCATTGTCAACTTCCTGTCAATAGGACGGCTGCCCGAAGACAAAAATGAGGCAAAGCGACTCAGATGACAGGCAACCCACTATACCCTACTGGAGGGAAAGTTGTACCGAAGATCCTTCACCTTGCCTTACCTCCGATGCCTCCATCCAAAGGAGGGCAATTATGTGTTACAAGAAATTTGCGAAGGCATCTGCGGTAACCACCTTGGTAGGAGAGACCTAAACCAAAAAGCTCTAAGGCAGGGCTACTTCTGGCCTACCCTCCACAAGGACGCAGCTAGATTGGTGCAAAGATGTGACCCATGCCAGAGGTACGCCAACTTATGCCACAGGCAGGCCACCACTCTCTCGGCCCTCAGTAGCCAATGGCCCTTTGCCAAATGGGGCATGGACCTCCTTGGCCCCTTTCCTCCAGCCACAGGGGGGTAGAAAGTACCTTGTTGTTGCAGTAGACTACTTCACCAAGTGGGTAGAAGTCGAGCCTTTGGCCACCATCATGGCGTGAGCCATTCAAAACTTCGTTTGGAAAAGCATCATCTGCCACTTCGGCCTACCCTATATGCTGGTCACCAAAAACGGGAAGCAATTTGTTGATGCCAAGTTTTGGGAGTGGTGTGCCTCCCTCGGCATTAGGCAACAGTACACCTTGGTAGGCTATCCCCAAACCAATGGCCTATCCGAGGTCACTAATAGGACAATACTGGATGGACTGAAGACCAGATTGGACCGAGCTAAAGGCCTATGGGCTGAAGAACTAAATAGTGTACTCTGGGCTTACCAAACTACGCCTCGAATAGCCACAAGAGAAACCCCATTCGGCATAACCTACGGCACAGAAGCAATAATCCCAACAGAGATTGGCCAGCCGACATTCCGAGTTGAAGCATACACTAAAGTCGAGAATGATGAAGGCCTTAGGGCAAACTTAGACCTGCTAGAAGAAGCCCGAGAGCAAGCACAGATAAAGGAAGCCACTTACTAGCAGCGAGTGGCTCGCTACTACAACTCCAGGGTAAAAGAAAGATACTATCAAGAGGGAAACTTTATCGTCAGAAAAGTCATGGTCCCCAAGCCCGAAGTAGGGAAGCTGGGCCCTAACTGGGAAGCCCCTTACAGAATCAAGCGAGTCATCGGCCCTGGCACTTCCACCTGGAACACCTAGATGGAAGAACTGTACCTCGGACATGGAATTCAGAGAACCTCCGGATGTACTACAAATGATTGTAACATCTTTTTTAAAACTGTGGAATGAATGAAGCAAAGTTCCTCTTCGGCTCAATGCTTAGCACGTGTACCTACTAAGTCCTTATAACTCTTTGGCCTCGCGACTAGTAGGGGCGCACGGCCTCCTCCAAGGCTATACCCCCTCGATAGACTAACGCCAAGACTTAACGAATATGTAACAGACACCTTGGCTATGACTTACTGCGTCAGAATATGCCAAGACGGCTGAGGGCCCCATGTGCCTTAGCGCCCTGCCTCGGCGGCGGCTAGCCTCCTGAACTTTCACACTTAGCGCTACCAGCAAAGGAAGATAGCATCCTCGGAGCGTTGCGCTAAACCTCGTTGAAACAAGTATGCGGGGGCATGGGAGCTAAGAGAGCCTCGGCTCTGCCTAGGCCCCATGGAGCTAGACGAGCCTTAGCTATATCTCAACCACCCCCCAATATGGCAGGCCACCTCGGCCTCGTTAAGGTTAACACGTTGGGATACGGGGGCCAGGTGAGCCCCTATTCAACCTAGGTCCTACAGATCCAGACAAGCCCTAGCTCCATCTTGGCCACCCCTTAATACGACAGGCCACTTCGGCCCTGCCGAACCCAACACTTAAAAGATTGGGAGACAGGCGAGCCCCAGCTCAGCCTCGACCCCACTCTACATCGACAAGCCACCTTGCTATCTATTTAAGCAAAGGGAAGAGAGCTAGGCAAGCTTGGTGCCCTGCTTCAGCCTCTCCCCATCACAGTTTTTTGCACGTTGTGTTTTTTCCTTTGGAGGGGCAAGGACCCTTCGGCAACAAAAGCATAAGTGCAAAAAAACTGTGCAAAAACATACAAGGAAAGATAACACAACAAAACACAAGTGCAACAGTTGAAGCAAAAGATCTAAAAATTTCTTTGATTTTCATTATGCACAAAAAATTATTTTGGCTTTACATATTTGTTTCATGGCCCTTTAGGCCGAATACATAAAAAAAAGGAAGAGAAAGAAGCCTGGCTTAAGCCTCACGACCAGCTGGAGGAGGAAGTGCAAAGTCGGTAGCCTCTTCGGGAGTATTGGGAATCACTTTCAGACATTTAGCATCGAAGTCCGGAAGCACCGCAAGGAGTGCCTTCTTGGTGTCCTCGATCCCGTCCAAATAAGCCCCGGAAGTGACGTCGGCCAGCTTACTAGCTCGCTTCTCTGCTTCCTGGGCCCTCTTCTTGGCACCAGCCGTCTTCTGCTCGGCCTCAACAGCCTTCTTAGCTGCTTCCATCCCGTCCAAATAAGCCCCGGAAGCGACATCAGCCAGCTCACTAGCTCGCTTCTCTGCTTCCTGGGCCCTCTTCTTGGCACCAGCCGTCTTCTGCTCGGCCTCAACAGCCTTCTTAGCTGCTTCCTCGGCCCTCCGCTCTGCCTCAGCTGCCCGCCTGTTCACCTCAGAGATGCCCTCCTTGGCTTGACGGAGACGCCGCTCGGCCTCAGAGACGAGGCTCTCAACCCGAGCCCTCTCAATCTGCTCCTTGGCAAGAAGATCTTGTGTCTTCTTCAGGTTCTCCTCGGCCTCCTTGCGGAACTTATGTTCGTTAGCAAAGAACCGTTGCATCACATAGCGCTTCTCCACGGTGTTGGCGACAGTCTGTTGAAGCTTGTCATTCTCAGCCTCCAACTTATCCATATTGGCCAAGGCCAGCTTCAACCGATCCCCTAGACCAACAAAATGAAGCTAGACCTACAACAAGAAAACAATCAGTACCTAGCAAAAAGAACGAAAGAAAAAGAAAAGAAAAGAGGAACAGACTGTTACCTCGGCCAACCTCTGCAACCCTTGGTCATACAACTTGTCAGGGGCCATCCCCAACATCTGGAAGCGATCCAGAGACAGCAGGGACCGGCTTACCAACGCTGGGCCAACTGTCGTGTTGCGAATCGAGTCCCCCTTGTAGACCTCCCATTGGGGGCAGAAGATCTTATCAGACCGCTGAGTGAGCTCCTCCAACGGCGTGGGAAAAGAGAATGGCCCCATCCGCTCCATGTGGGACCCCCTCGAGGCGTCACCGGCGGAAGATCTGTTCTGTGTTTTCATTTTTCTCAAGATACAAGAACATAAGATGCAATGAGGTATATATGAGAACTGATGTGGGGTGACCCAACCCAGCCCATTTGGGGCTGGGAGGCCCAGCCCATGAACGCCAGATCAGGGAATGAGATCCGCTACAGTAGGGGTTGCCCTGCCCCCATCTTACGGAGCCAACTGCGATGCGCTCACATGACCCTGCCAAACCCACTACAAGCCCTCGTATGGCTTCCATCTCAGGTGTTCATCTCCACCTACCTCCAGGCAGCTTAAGTATAAATAGGGGTACCCCCTCCAGGTAAGGGGGTCTATTGTCATAAGGGCAATTGCAATAACTGCTGTTGTGACTTTATTCTGGAACTACCTACCAAGATCTTGTCCTGGTACTCTCCCTTTGTACCCTATACTAATTTGACCATCGGAGACTCTGCCTCCGGTTCTCACCTGGGGCCTCTGACGAGTTTCTGCCTTGTAGCACTTCGGCCATCTGCCCTCGGCTTCTACCATACTCGGAGTCCACCCCGCCTCAGCTTACACACCTTGGCCTCAGCAGTGACCTCTCCGAATCCTCAAAGCCTTCAACCACCCTTCGAAGCCCAGGGGCGAAATTACTTTGTTGTCCTCGGTCATTCCGAGCACCAACAAGAACCAAACCCTAACAAAGTCTATATTCATGTTGGGTCCAATATTGACCCCCGTGGTGAGCTACAGCCCTTTTGCTTCCACCATTTGAAACAAAAATAGGTCAGAATTTTCATTCAAATCATTTGCTCTGCCATAATTTTGCATCGGTGGAAATTTATTTGCATTACAACCAAATACAGCCTTAATTTGTAACACACATATATAGGAACATTAATTATTGTGAGCATGGACCACACACTAGTTGGGACTTACATGGTGAATCAGGATTACAGTTACTGCTTCCTGCTACTATGGAAATTAAAATACTATATATTTCAGTTGTACTTTATAATTAAACTTAATATGATTTTGCATTCACTATGAAGAAAAGGCAATTAATTTTGAGATGGCTCTGCTGGGTTATCCTGATTTGCAGCAGCAAGCTCTACGTAGTATTTCTCTATCCATCCTTTGATGGTTTCGATCTCTAATTGCCGTTGCATAACCAACCACTTTGGGTCATGCGCCGATGCCTGATATAAATCCATGCAATGTGATCCTGCAAAATAGGTTTCTGTTAGCAGGGAATTGTATTAATGACTGCAGACTGGAGCAAATCCTCCAAGCTTGGAAGGTTTTACTGGACTTTGGTCTTGTTTTCTAAAGCAATAAAAAGCAAAAGACATACCTTCATTTGTATATATTGCCACAATACTGTCTGATATGTTTGCCAAAACTCTGGACAGAAAGAAAGAGTAAAAATGCATCTGACATTCTGAGTGAAAAAAACAACACACACACAACAATAACTACTACTACTACTTACATATGGTGTGAGAATATATTAAAAAGTATGGATTAAAATATTTATTGAAGCCTATGTTTCCTACCCTCCACTACTATAAGGGTCCTTGAGTCCATTGGAAAATATAATATTGCTAGCAAACTTCTGAAGAACCAATCTTATATCCTGCAAAAGAAGTAAAATTTAAGATTAAATGGGGTAATTGAAAATTATGGGCTGATAGCAAGAGAGAGAGAGAGAGAGAGACATACGTGCCCTCCAAATTGAGTAGTGATCCAATGAGGTCTTGGAGGAACACCATACAAATCCTGGCATGACTTGGTGTAATTTTTTAAGTCAAAAGGAGATGAAGGGAACATGGTGTCATTGCTACCTCGACCAATGGGCATTACCAACTCACTGCATGTCTGTAAATCAAGCAAGAGCACAGTTAAAAGTATTCTTATATATATTATTAACATGATATAATAGTATTTAATGTATACAGTTTATCTGATGTTCATGTAGCCAACTGTTAGTCTGTTACCCCCTTATTGATCAGCAGACTGACAAGAATAATTAATTATATATATATATATATAAAGAGATCCCTCCATTAGATTGGAGATCTCTACATCTACCACCTTTAAAGGTTTAAAGGTTTAAAGGTTTCCCTTGAGTATGATAAAGTTTCAATATTGGTATTTTAATTACAAAAAAATAAGACTCAAAAAATGGAAGAAACATCAGCTTTCAAGCCATGGTCATCTTCCTACTGCTTCTGCTTTTGTGCTGCTGCTGGTGCTTCGTTCTGTCTTAATTTGATGATGAAAGAAAAGAAAAGAATATACCAACTGTATATATATAGATCGATATATTGTATATATACCTGCCATCTCCAACCGAAATATCCTTGAGTTGGATAATTATAGTAATTTGTATCGTAGCAGGATCGATTTCCCATATAAGCAACAACACCTGCAAACACCCTGCTAAGAATATCGGTTCCTTTGGGTGCGCCATCAATGACATCACAGATTTTATTGACGATATTTTCTGGGGGTCTATTGAACTGTGCAGTTTCTGCATATATGCTGTCCAGATAGTCCTTGAGCTCGAAAGATGTGTTCAATGGCCTTGACAAGAAAATTTATAACCATATAGTTAATTAGTACTGAATCAAGCTATATATATTTCATTATAATGGAGATCGAAAAGTTCAATTAAATTACGAGCAAGTCTTGAATTTTTGACTCAGGACTGAAAGACCATCAGCTTGGGAGGCCACTTTATCAATTTCAGACCATGATTCTCTTATGGTGTCGTGGCAACTTTCACTAGCTTCCTGCATGACCCACCACAAAAGCTAACAACTGAGTGATGAGGAGATTCTCAAGATTAATTAATTTAGATAAAAAGAATTACAGATATAGAATATGTATGCCATTGGTGATCAATTGATTTCTTACTCTATAGTCCTTGGTGACAATAGAATAGTACCCATTATGTGGGGTGATGTCATCGAAGTAGAGAATTGGTGCTGATGAGGCTAGTGCACCAAGGGCAACGTGAGGGTATTTTAAGCGAAACCAAGATGCAAGCACTGAAGATAATTAAAGAGGAGATGATGAGATCGATGGATGCAAGAGGGATTATATTAATTTGATTCATTAATTTTTCAATATAGCTAGGCCAGGGTCCTACGTGATCGACTTACTTCCACCATAAGATCCTCCCATGACAATTACTGGGCAGAACTCTGCAGATAGATTTTTCTTCAAATCTATGATCACCTCTGCATAATCCGCTAGAGCTTGAGCAGAATTGAAATACCCAAGAGTCTCAGTGTTTTGAAATGATTTTTCCCAGGACTCAAACGGGACCGACTTTCCATAGTAGCGATGCTGCAAATTAAACAAACACCACCATGATATTAGCTAGATCGTAGTGCACATAGTTTTTGTTTAATTTGCTTAATCCAACTGTAGTACTAACGACTTAAGAAAATTAAAACTGATCAAACTCGTGGAAAAGAAAAACTGGTATAATGGCAGTTTTTTACCTCTATATATACTATCAAAGCATTGAAGCGAGGGGCGTGATCAGTGAGGAACCCAATAGACTCTATATCATCGTCCAAAGATGACTCCTCCCCAAGAAAAACAAAGATTGGAGCAATCGAATTAACGCCACCCCAGTACTTAAAGTTGATCATGTATCTCTGTTGAAAAGTAGTGTAGCTTTCTGGCCTGTAGTTGAAGTGGTCGAGCGTCTGTGTATAGAAAAAGGTCTGTAAGTCGTCCTTGGAGGTAGAGGAAGGTTTGGCAGCACTGGGATTCACCATCCTGCTCTTTCTGAAGACATCGAGATTCGGCATCTTCGATTGAGTTGCAGGCAGAAATGCCATGACAAATAGAAGCAGTAATGGTGGAAACCAATGAACTGAGAATTTCTTACTGTGAACTGCCATAATCATATCTCTGGTCTGTACAAGACCGTCGTAATGAATAAGCAGTGAGGTTGCATATACGAGAGATGGAGGAAACCCAGCGATCGATCATCCCATATTTATAGACCATTTCTTTAGTAGTGGCCTAGTGGCAAGTTCTGGTCCGATTGCTTCCAGTCAAACATGGTTCGATAGCATGGTAAATAAATTTCTTCGAAGCACCAGTCAAATCATGGATTCCTACCGCCTTCAGTCGAGGCATCCACTTTCAGCAAAAGGTGAGGAGTCAAATCATGGAACCGCTTATCCTCTTGCTGAATATATATACAACAGCAGGTTAACAAGGAATTAATTAATATATATTAACAAAGAATATAAAATCAATTAAGTCCTTGATCAATCAATTGTTTTTTGGTGTTTCTTCTGAGGAGACTTGTTGGTCAGCAGGGTTCTAATTTTCTTGACACCATGGGCCTTCCAGAATCACAAGAGGACAAAATGTATAAAGAGAGGGATTCATTATCTTGTGCAAATAAAGGGGCCGGATTTGTGGGTTGGTTTATCTGGTCTCCAATAACTTCTAATTCAATGATGCTAGCTTTACTTATGATATTAAACCCATAAGGCTTTTGATAAGAAAATTCCTATTCTAATCCAAGTACTATAAATAAATGGGGCATGAGTTAGGGCATAATTGCTTGGTGCAAAGTATGGTTTTAAAAAATGATCTGGAAATGAAATCATTCTGCCCATTGGTTTCTAAGTCAACGGTTTGACCGTTTGATTCAAATGGATGGCTTGTTTTGATAATAAAAATAAAAAAAAATAAAAAAGGTCAAAATCATTAAACGGATCGATGAATTGATGAGTTGACCACATGGGTCAATGAATTATTAACTGATTCAACGATTTTTGGCTAGGGATCAGGTTTAGGGTAAAATAGAACCGGTTGCCTAGATGGTTCCCAGGCTGAACAGTCCAACCGTCTAGATCAACAATGACTCAAAAACTATGGCACAAAGATAAAATCCCATTGCTGATGAAAGCATGGAAACATGGGTTCAAGTCTGAAAGAGGGTCATTTTGTGCAAAAGAAATGCAAAAGTATATATATAGCTAGGTTTGTATCAAGCCTAACCCTCCCAAGACCCCTGATCGATGGTCAGGACTTAGGACCACCATTAGGTAATGGTTCTTATATATATATATATATATATATATATATATTGAATTTTAGCCCAGTCGTTATCTCCCAAGATTCGATATTAGATATATCCAATTTGTAGATGATTGCCAGTAAAACCACAATAAAGCCATGTATACAGTTACGAGATGAGAACTACCAACTACAGTGCCACCCACATTCGCTTCATGTGGCTTATTTGGGATTTCGGTAAACTATTGTATGGTTTGGCAAACTATTGGATATTGGATGCAACGAATCACAATAAAGAAAAAGGAACTAAGAATCTCACAGGAGTAGAGATCTGGCCAATTAAGATTGTGGGTGTTGAACCCCACCTCAAATAATGTAAAATTTTTTTTGGACATGTTTATGCGCTTGGTCTTTGCATAATGTACTTAGTCAAAAAGGAATTTTGATTCACAGCTCATGCATGAGCTTATAGGCGTCATCACTTAATTGCTTTTGCTTCAGCAAAGTTAATTCTCTTTAGCACATTAGCATTCTAGAAGTAGATATATATCCATCCACTTAATCCATTTATAAATTTTATCAGTATGCGGTATCCACATGTTTCCCTTGTGCTGTAAGCTGTAGTTTCAAAGCCATAATAATCCTAATTGCCTACTCTTGAGCGTTAAATTCAGACCACTTTTTGTGAATCAAGGTTACGTTCAAACCTAAAATATAGAGGGCTATAATGGGATATGTTTGCTTAAGCTAAGTTAGAATCTTTTATCTTATCTAATACCTGTTATTGCGAATGCCTCCAAGTTTGTGGGGCCTTTTACTTTAGATTTTCTAGCTCTTATGAGTTCAAGAGGCTCTGAATTCTCTCTAGGCCAGTGAGGAGGATCCTCTACTTACTGCTGGCTCGATGATATCAAGCCAATTCATTTTAGTTTGGCACTCATCAAAATTCATGGGGTTTTGATTGGTCAAAGCTACCCATTGCAACTGAATGAATTAACAATTCAGATCTTCTATCCATAAGAATCCTAGCTACCCACATGACACCACAACTATACATTGGGAACATCTCTCATGAATGGTAACATGCAAATAAGGGAGATGTTCTTTCCGGTATCATAGTCGAACCCCTATCATAAATAACAAAATCATGCAGTCGTATCATTATCCCTAAAATACAAGACACATACAAGGTTCCTATAAATCCACCTAGGTGTGAATTGTAGCTAAACCCTAGCTCATTTTTTTCAATCTCAAAACGCACCATACATTTATTGGAAGAACCCTAAACAATAAATACATTTATTAGTTATTAGTATCATTAACATTACCAACTGGTTAGTAAGTTAAATATGAAGATGGCTTCCATCTCATCAAAATTATGAGCTTAAGGAATGAAGGAGACTACTGGCTTGAGAAGCCAGTCTATCACTTTCAGACCAAACAATTTTGGATGAAAGATCCATAGTTTCTTGCTTCCTAGTGTAATATTCTCCTATGCAATCACATAGCTAGTCTCTTTCTGATAAGTTTTGTTTAGATCTATATCATCTCTGCATAATCTGTGCTAGAGCTAGAGCTGAGCTGAGGTAACCAAGGATCCTAGCATTTCTAAATGCTTCTCAACTCACCATTGTAGGGTGCTGTTAGAAACAGAGTGGACTTATAAACAATCTTTCCCCTCACCTCGGGTGTATACATGGATCTGCACCATGATATTATTAATTTAAAGCCCATCACATATTTTTGCTGTAAAGTTTTGAGCATCTGAGTGTAGAAAGACTTCTCAAAGCCCTGGGAAGTAAGCAAAGGTTGGGTGGTGGCAAGATTCCTTAGCTGGGTTCTTCCAAGTTCCAACAATGTTGAGTTCTGCTAGGCCTTTTATTTATTTGCAGTGTTTGACAAGTCTTTTCGTGTGGCCTTTTGGGCTTCCACAAGCTTGGAAAACAAAAAATCAGTCTTTTTCTATTTAGTAACCAAAAGCCAGAAAGATGAGAAGATGCATGCATGGAAAGACCTGAAAAGACTGAAAAATGTTGAATTTCCAGAAGTTTCAATTGAAGCTTTCTGGTTTTTCTATGTGGTATATGGCCTTTAAATGTGTTTTTAAAATCACGGTAGACCGATCCATTTACCAAACGGTTTTTTATCTTTAAAGACAAGACCCCAAAAATTCAATGTCTTTTGGCCATCTAGCCGGGCTGCTCAAAGATCTTTCTAAAAGATTTGTCAAACGACACCTTAGACATTTGGTTGGTTGTTTGTGTTACATTTAAAATTGAAAGTAAGTGAAAAAAAACTGGGACATCTCAAGCACTATCTAAATCCAAACCCAACATGATGTCATCGGGTTGGGTTAGGGTTAAGATTATGGGTTTAACAACTTGAGCCGAGTTAGGTTTGACCTCATCCCTAGCTAACCCGGCCCAACTTGCATTCCTACTGGTGAAATACCAGTCATCTTATTCATGAATAATAATTTACGTGTTAAATCTGAAATTTAGAAAAAAAATCAAATTTTTAGAAATATGCAATACAGATTTTTAAATTAAAAAGATGAGATTGTTTAACTTTGGATTAAAATATTTTTACATTTATGAGATGCCATATATTTAATATAACCCAAATATACACATTATATAAATATGGCCGATCTTTCATCCAAAATTTTTAAATTGAAAACGCATTAAAAATAAAAAAAAAAAATATTCCTACCCGAGTTATACACAATACTGAGGGCCAACTAAATTCTATCTTGCCAGAGTCAGATGGTTGGGTAGGGATTTGTTAAGTAAAATTAACAAAGAGATTGAGGTCTAACTACATTAACTAGATTCTAGAATACTCATCAATGGGAAGTACTTTTACGTGGCCGAAGACTCTCACATAATAAGGGGTTCAACTAAATAAAGGTGAGGCTGTCTTAGGTAAGACCTTGGCCCTAGATGGGAGTCCGAATCTTCTGTTCACAAGAACTTTGCCCATGTCTATCATAGAGGATATCTCATCCTCTTATATAATATTATGCATGGGAAGGTGTTCTCAATACACAGATGTTCGCAATACACAGGGGTAGTGTGTCGTGGATAGACATGAACAGGATTCTTATGGACAAGAGATCCAAAGTCCCTATATGGTCTCATTCCATTGTTCCATTGGTCCACCTTAAAATGAAACCAGGGAATGGGAATTTCATCACTTTTGGATCCAACCACACAATTGACATTATTGACTGGAGAAAAGCACTTTATAAAGGTGGCCGGTTTGTGGATGGTGGGTTCTACTTATATGGTCCAAGGCAGAAAGTAGATTAAGGAATTAGCACATCTGGTCGTTAGCTTTTTCACGCCAGAAAAGTGAACAGTCTATCACTCACCATAGAAAAGCTGAGAGAATAAGTCATTCACCCACCATAGAAAAGAAGAGAATAAGCTCTGGTTTCGGTATCACTTTGATCTTTGATGCATGAGAGAGAGAGATTGTGTCCAATTAAATAGAAACATTGAAGTATAACTTTTATACCATTAAAAGTTAGGTAACAATTTCAATTCCTTATTTTTGTATTCTAATAACAATAGTAATTAAGTTAAAGTAAATCTAACGTCTAATAGTTACATCAATGATTTGCAAGATCCGTGTAGTACTGCCTGAACCAATTGGAGATGATTTCGACCTCTCTACGTCGTTGCTTGATTAACCACTTCGGATCATTTGGTAATGAGGGAAGTATATCTAAGCAATGGGATCCTGCAAGCAGTAAGCTTTTGTTAATGGTAGCAATATTGCTAACTAAAACTTATAGCAAAAGGACATTGAATTAATGTGTTAATTCCATACTCTTCATCAAAACCCACAAAACTTATTAAGTACTGGTCGTTCCTTTATAAATAAATAATCATCTTTCTGATAATTAAAGGAGGTGCCAAAGGCATACCTTCAGTTGTATATATGGCCGGAAGGCTCTTTGAAATGCTTTTCAACACACTGTAGAAATTAAAAGAGATAAAACCCCATTAAATGTCTTGCTTGTGCAAATCTCAGCTATGGATGAAGAAGGTATATAATATATAAGTTCTATTCTTTACCCTCCACTACTGTAAGGATCCTTGAGTCCGTTTGAGAATATGATGTTGCTTCCAAATCTCTCAAGGATCAGTTTAATATCCTGAAGTTTACATTACAACGAGGCATGAGTCCATTTGAGAAATAACACAGGCATTCACAGAGAGAGAGAGAGAGAGAGAGAGAGCTTACATCACCACCAAACTCAGCCGTGATCCAATGAGGCCTAGGGCTGACGCCATAAGCATTCTTGCAGTCTTGGACGAATGCATCTAGGTCAAAAGATTCCGCTTGGAACATGGTGTCATTACCATGGGCTATGGGCATTACCATCTCACTACATGTCTAAAATAAACAATATACTGATTAGCATTCATTTGTTTTACAACAACCATGCTAGCAAAAAATTACAAGAAATTCTATTTTTTGGTAATAAAATGAAGATTATTTATTAAAAATAAAAAAAAACAAGGGGGAGAGAAAGGATATACAAAAGGGCTCAAACCCTTTAGAATGGAATGGCGAAATAGGATTCATGTAGCCAATTCCATATAGTTGGGACAAGGCTAGAATGATGACGATGATTCTTAAATTATATTTTTATTTTGTTTCGAATAGTAGAAATAAGTTGGCTTTGTTTCAAAAGACAATTCATGTGTGTATTTGAAAGCCTTCAAACTAGTGGTTGTATGATTCATGAAACATGATATCGAATCACCAAATGAAAACACATATACAACCAAGAACATGTTTCGACTTTTACTTTGTTTTCACAACTCACAACAACAAAAATAATTCACATAAGAGAACACACCCCTTAATTGTTTGGTTCTCATAAAAAAATTCGGAGACCTCTTGATGTCTTAAAGAGATAGTGATGAATATGGTGATGAGAATTGAAAGAGAAGATACCTGCCAACTCCACCCCTCATCTGTTTCACTTGGATTGTTGAATGCATTTACATCATAGCATGTCCAGTTTCCATTGAAACTAACTAGTCCTTTAAAAATTTTACCAAGAATATCGGTATGGTTGGAGGTTCCATCAATGGCATTGCAAATCCTTGAAACTCCATCTCCTGAAGGAGAAGCATATTGGGCAGCTTCACAGTAATTAGAGTCCAAATAATCCTTGAGCTGGGAAGCTGAGGTTATTGGGCTAACAGACAAGCAAACAACACACAACTTCAATTAATGTCTAAAGCTAAGGATTAAGAGGAAAAGAGATGAAGGTTGAGTTTAATTAATTACGAGCAAGTCATGAATTGTTTTGAAAGTATTGAAAGGCCATTTGGTTGAGAGGCAACTCTATCAATCTCAGACCAGGACTGCTTTAAGGTATTATAGCAATTCTCACTCTTTTCCTGCACCACCCAAAGAAGATGAAACCCAATTCAGATCTCTTCTATGGTTTCATCAGTGAAGATTAAACAGACTGAACTTGATTACATACTCTAAAATCCTTGCTGACAACAGAGTAATATCCATCTTGAGGTGTGATATCATCAAAATAAAGAATTGGTGCCGATGATGCTAATGCCCCAAGAGCAATATGTGGATATTTTAGACGGAACCATGCAGCCAGCACTGAGAAAAAGATAAATAAATAAATATTCAAATAAAGAATAATCAAGCAATTGATATATGTGTGTATATTGGCATTCCGTTTCTATTTAAAATATCAAATTTGATGTTTCTCACACATGTATTTTTCTAGTTGAAATGACACTCATGTATAATATGATAAGGTTAATACATATTTTCAAGGATTAAAATATCAATACAATATGAGATAATACCATCCCGGCCCTCTTCCCCAACTCCTTATCATTATAAAATAAAAAGAAAAAGAAAAAAAGTAAAAAAAATTAAATATCAACCATCTCGCCAATACCCATATTTGAATATCAGGTATATCAATATTTTAATCCTAACATATTTTTCACAAATTTATATTAATCAACCCAAAATGTTTAGTGGTGATGAAACACTGATGTAAAGATGAATTTATAATTACTTACTTCCACCATATGATCCCCCAACAACAATCACAGGACTTTTCTCTGCAGACAAGTTTTTCTTGATATGTAGAATAATCTCGGCATAGTCTGCTATAGCTTGTGATGAGCTAAAGTATCCAAGAGTGCTGGCATTGCTGAAGGCTTCTTCCCTTGAACTAAAGGGAATTGATTTTCCATAATAGCGATGCTGTAAAAATAATACCAATTAATCCCTCAAGACATTCATCAAATCATGGCTATTTTGATAAATGAGATGTAATTAAGAGGAATGATTTGAGGGCATCACAATTTTGATAAATGGGTATATAAGAATTAAGAAACGGGGAGAAAAGAAAAACAAAGAAAATTAAGAGAGGCCCCAATTAAGAATTGAATTATAATATTCATAAAAAGGAAATAATATTAATAAATATGACTTGCCAACCCCAAAATAGGCTGCAAGACTGCAAATAGATTGGATGGAATTTGGGTACGAGTATACCGTATCCAACCCAATAAGAATTTAGAGATCCCAATCTGATCCAATAACCGCTGGATATCTAAAATATGGATTCGAATTCAATATAAATCTGTATTAAATTAGTATAAATTTACAAAACATATATTATATAAATAAAAAAACAATTACAAAACTATAAAGAATTCTAATACTAAAAAATAGCTTCTTTTATCTATCAATTTACGCATGAACAAAGAAATAATGGTTCCGTCAAGGCAAAGGCCATTCCCACACCATTCCAATTGCCTTTTAAAACCTTGCAATAGGAATATCTTCCCATTAATTAAAGCATATAAGTGTGGAGATATTCTCAATACAAGGCTGTTCGAACAGGCTTTGTCCTGACTAAAGCCAAAGTTATTGTAAAACCAGCTTGTTGGTAAGGTCTTCTGTTAGTCATAACAGAAATTTGGGATTGAATCACATCTGCATCTAGGTTGGGGGATTGGCTAGCTACCCCCATTATGTAACCCTTGAAGATATCAAAATAATAATATTAATAATAACAATGGTTCATATTTTCAAATCTAACTTAAACTAAATTAAAATCCAATTCAAATCCCACCAAAAAACACAAGATTCATCAAGAAAGACTAATGAGAAGATTAATGATTTTTCTCTCCATCTCTTTATTACCTCTATATATACCAAAAGGGCTTTAAACTTAGGGGCATTGTCGGACAGGAATCCCGCAGAACCAATTTGAAAATCTAAAGCTGCCTCATCTCCAAGGTAGACGAAGATGGGAGCGCTGGTATTTGCACCACCCCAGTACTTGGCGTTCATCACATATCTCTGTCGAAAGGTTGTGTAGCTCTCCGGCCTATAGTTGAAGTGGTCGAGAGTCTGGTTGTGGTAATAAACCTTGTAGTCCGCCCATTGAGAGGTTGATTCCGCCATGACGTCCACCTTCCTATCCTTCATGCTTCGCATTCGCAGGACGCCCATTCGTGGGGTTCGAATTATTGGTGTCGCAGAAACGCATGTTAAAAGGAGTAGAAACAGTAGTGAAGAAAGCAACTGGATTATTGATTGCCGAGCTCTGTCATGAATGGCCATGGCTTCAGAGGTTGGACGTTGGAACTGGGTTTCAAAGCTTATATATATTATATATAAGGGAAGAGCGTATAGTAAGTAAGATATATAGAGAGAGAGAGACCAGCTAATAGCATGGTAGAAGGTTTCTTACCGAAATTCACGTGGTGAGTTGGGAATGGGAATTTGACAATTATTAGTTTATTTTTTGAAAACTAAAATACCCTTTACATTTCAACTTTTGTATCATTAAAAAGGGTTAGGTTTGGAATAATAGTGTAAAATACGAAACTTGGGCTGGTTTAGACTTCTAATGCTGCAAGCAATCAAACACTGATGTGGGTTGACTAGACGGATAGAAGCAAGCACTGGATGGGAATGCTTAGGAATGATCCATGGCGAAACACACGCATATGAGGCTGTCAATTGGTCTAATCCCATCCAATCCAATCGGAATGTAATATGAAAAGTCCACATCCAATACAATTCCTCCCGATAATTTGAGAATCCAATCCAATCTAATATGGCTGAAATTTAAAAAAGAAAAATCTAATTTTCTACATTTTTAGCACTCATTTTTATATGAAATTTTTATGTACAGTGTATATATTAACGATCATCGGCTTTGACCTTTTTTCTTGTAATGTAGATCCGTCCCTGTATTCTACTTGAACCTCTAACCCATGAACCTCTCTCTTATTTGGGTCGAATATTGCCATATATATTTGTAAATGTTATATATCATATTTGTAAGATTTTATACCTATATAATTTCTAGGCTGTCCCTAGGTCATGTTAAGTGCAGGCATGATGCAGGTTTGACCAACCTGAACAGAATGAATTTATGCTTGCCCATGTTTGGAAATTTTGAAGGCCGAGCAGGCTGTGCCAGGTCATAAATGATCATCCCTATTTCTTAGCTTCATGACTTTCCTTATCATGGAGACCTATATTTTCGGTTTGCTTGTATATATGTTAATTCCAAGTCAAATCAAGTTAGATGATGTTTCATGCCGATGTCATTTCTCTAATGTGTTTCCATTCGATCAGCGCCATGTAGGCATTTTCTCATATCTTCGGTTTGGTTGAGCGTTTTTCAAGAGTTTTCCAACCGTTACAAGCAACATTCTCACCTCAGGTTAATTATGTGCAAGTAGATTTTTGAGAAAACATCAAAATGAAGCTTCCTGTTTTGGAGAAAACATTTTCTCCTTTCTTTTTCCTATAAGGCACCTAATTGGTACCATGTAATATCTATATTACTATTAATCTATACTACCCTTTACATGTGTGAATGATAGTATGGAACTTTTGTTTAACAAAAATCTCCGATTTTTTGAATTTGTCTCTCTCTAATTATAAGAGAAATGCAAGTCGAACAATCACCTTTTTCTTCATTCAAATCCCTCTCATTAAATCTTATATTTAGGGTATTAAGGTCCATTTACATTTATTGGATCCTATCAAATTCCCTTAAACATTATGTTTAATGTATTAACTCTCATTCTTCATTGAATCCTATATAAATTAACCATATTAGAAAAAATAAGTCTGATAAATAATAATTATTTTTTTATTGATAATAAAAATAAAATACAAATTTAAAACCAACCCAAAAATGGAGTTATTTCCTATTTGGTGGCGAATCAACAATAAAAACCTTTTAAATAAAATGTCTCAACCCTAGATGATGTAACTAAATAATAATAAACATTAAAAAGATAAAAGTATAAAATATACAAAAAAAAATGTAGAAAATATTTACGCACATCTCTAATATCATATATCCATCATATTAAACAAAAGCAAGTGTGACAATTAAATAATAATAATTTTTATAGACATGAAAATGTGAAAAAGGTTGTAAAAAATTTAGAAACATATTATTTATTTTTATCATCATTATCAAAAATTGTCACGTGTAAAGCACGAAAAGTACACATAACCCAAAATGATTTATCATTTTCCAAAGTGTTACTATGAAAACTGCTTTGATATCAAGCATAGCCTTGGTTTCTTGAAAAAAAAAATTAAAAGCAAGGAAGAAGTTTAGTCCAAGACAAAGTAAATTGATATACCACATTGAGTTTTGGACTAAAATAGGCCTGCTGCCATGTTTAGTTCAAGCCTCGTTGCTTTTAATACAAAAGCAATGGTGGAGTATGGTTTTGTGACGATTGAGAATGGTTTGCATCAATCGCATATAAGTTTGAAATGGTTGAATATGGGTTTGTAAACATTTGATAATGATTAGGTATGGATTTGTAACGATTTGTACCCTAATGAGGGATGGTAGATTATAAAATCCCGGAGTATTTGTAATGGTTTGTAACGCTTTGTAAAAGTTGAGTATAGAATTGTAACAGTCGAATTTGGTTTGTAACAGCTAATCGTGGGTTTTTAATAACAGTTATGGATTTGTAATGATTTGTGACAGTTGATGATTAAAATCTCATTCTTAATTTTAAGGAATTATCTTCTTTTTGCGGTTAAATACTCGGGGGCGTTCTTTTTTGAAATTTTGAGAGGCGGGAAAGTTGGTCAATGGAATTTTGATTTCTATTGACCAAGAAATCTGTGTTCTTTTTTCAAATTTATGTGAGGATCATGGAAAGTTTAATTTTCTGAGCATCATGTATCCATCCACATGGGGGAAAGTTGCCAACACTTGAATGGAACAAAAATGCCATTTTTTATAATGGACTTTTATGGATATGATGGTCATTATCTTATTTACATAGGAAATAAAAAAACATTTGTTTCACAAACTGGATTAGAAAGATGATGGGAGTTGTTTCAGCTCAATCCATATGACCTCTGGTTTGTTTGTATTCAAAATTTCTTGTTGAAGATATGTCTTATATTCTAATATATTGCAACTATTGGATTATATGTCATAGTCTAATAGTGGGTATGGTTCATCTTTTAGGTTAAGGATGCCATTTGAGGCCCCGCCTCGAAAGCTAGAAGCTGCTGAGATTCAACCCTCCCAAACAGGCACTAACTAGAATAAATCATATTCATAGCCATTATTTTTGGGATTTAGGGCTAAGAAATGCCTAATGGTCTGCTTGTAGGCTTGGAAATTAGAAATGAGATACACTTCTCGTAAGGCAACTCAGGGCCCATTAGGTTCATGGGAATAGGGGCCTTGAACCAAAATTGGAATGGATCATTCTGGTTCCAACTGTTTGGTTGAATGGAATTGAAATCCCATTTCTAATCTTACTGGAACGGCATTCCTCCATCTGAGGTAATGGTTATTCACTCTTCCTTCTTTGAAAATAAAATCCCATTCCAAATTATTCTAATTCCAGTTCCTGTCTAAACCAAACAGATTATAGGAATAGATTATTCCATTTCTAACTTGCGACTAAAGACGAAAAAACCCTCGGACATTTCCTTTGTATCTTTCATTGATGGCCAATATTTAGCTACTAAACTACCTGGTCAGCAATGGCGGCAAAATGCTTCTATTACCCATCCCAGATATTCTCTACTTGGATCCTTTCATATTCTTCTCAAATGTATCACGATTCAAAATTGCGCTTCATGTTGTTAAAATTATTTTATATTGCCCCGCTTCAGATGGATGTAGACTGTAAGAGGCTTGTGACTTTTTGCATATGCTCAATGGTTTACTCCACCGTCCACATCTCCAAATGTTGGGGTGTAAATTTGGGCCCCAGTAAATGTTTGGGCCTGAAATTCAACTTGTCAGGCTAGCCCTTGGGCTCACCCCTCTTCTACATTTAAAAATGATTTGCACAGATTTAGCCCTTCTATACTATTCGCCTTATCAAACTAGTTGGGTTATGAACTCATGATTCATCTAAACAATGGCTATGTTTGGATAAACACTGGCCCAGCCCGCCTGACCTCCCGGACCAGGCCTAAAACTGCATCCAAACACATCTACAGATTTATTTTCAATAAAACAACAATACAAATAAATTTATAATCACTGTACTTTTATTTTTTAATAAAACAATAATATTTACATAAAATTCTTAGCTATCAGTAAATTTATTAAAATCGGATAATTGGCCTGGATTAGGTAGAGAGAATTGGGCTTAGTTTGGGATCAGGCTGGTTAAAACCAAGAACACTGACGAGGCCGGTCTTGGGCTAATCTCATAAAGGCCCAGCACACATTCCTCCAGCAATGGGCTTTCTCCAAGTCCACACACGCACACACGTCTCAACTTTGAATGCATATTCTTTGCCTAAAAAATATTATATGCCCAGAGACTATGGAACAAAGACACAGATTTTCTAACCCTTCCTTATAAGTTTTACTCGAAGAACAACTTTTAAGTAATTTTGAATAAAATAGCTGGGCCCCCATTCAATCAAGAAACGAATGAAAGCGCACGTGGAATTCCTTTGCATCCAATGAGAGAGGCACACACTCGCACACAGAATAAAGTGGGTGGCATTTTCGAGATTCCAACGAAAGACGAATGCCTTTTTCTAACTCCCTATAATTGGAGCAGAGGAAAAAATATCAACACTGCAAGGCGCAAACTCTGCTGGTAACAGTTTCTCTTCTCTCTCTGTTGCTTGATATTTTTTTTGTTCTTGCCATTTTTTTTCTTAATTCGATTGAAATGAATTGTCTTCAGAAATTTCCGAGGTGAATTGATTCATTTTCTCTTCATATATTCTTCGATTTTATCTTCTTTATTTGATTGAATCTGAGAATCTCCTCTCAAATGGAAAATCTTTTCTTTGATGTCAGATTCTCTGCCGTGCCTTTAAATGGTCTTGGAAGCCATGAAAGGAAGCCTCTAAGCTTTGTTAATCCACTGGTATACTCGTTAGGCATGAATATTATTAGAATCTCGCAGTTTATGTTTTGTTTTGTTGTTATTATTATTATTCTTTGATCGAATGCAGAGCATGGTGAATTCAGCTAAACCTCCCCGACTTATCATCACGAAGGTATCTTTTGGGCAATGCATTGTAATTCGGTTATAGAAACTTGGTTTGTTTTAGTTTGTCTTCTTTCTCTGTGTCGTGGTGCATAGATTAAATGTAAGTGTATTGCAAGTGTTCTGAGTTTTTCATCATTTGTATCATCTTTTTTCTGGGTTGAATTTCTCTATATATATGCTATGTAGTTATCTTTTTTTTTCAATTACTTATTTTGTCATAGCGCTTGTTGTTTTATCAAGATTTTTCTGCCTTTTCTTGTTGATGCTTTTTCTAGCCATATTGAATTATCTAGCCTTCATACACATTTGAACAGGCTCAACCCTATATCCCTTCTAATTTAGTTGAGTTTTGCACATAGACATGAGAACCGAAATCTGATGCGTGTCTAGGTTTCTACTTGGCAATATGAAAAAAATTGCAGGCATTTCTATAGACAGGTGTAAACTATTAAAAATTAAAATACTCCATATGTGTTGAATTTTGACATTTCAAACCTATATAAAAGGTTTTTAGAAGATTAACTTTGCTACTTAATAACATTTTTTTTGGAAATACTGGCAATGTGCACATTAACTATTTGTTTATGTCAAAAATGCACTGAGAAAAAGAAAAATGCCAATAGAAGTGTCCCCCAAGAATCTGTGGAGTGTTAGAGCCAACATGTGTCCAGCACTGACATTCATCCATTTAGGAGATTCCATGCAACACTGATCATTTTTTATTAAATGATGAAACTTAAAAACGTTAGACTAGAGGATAATGAGAGATCCTTAATTATATATGCACATTAAGCCTACTACTCATTTTCACTGTTGTGACTTCTAGATAATGAAGAATCAGTTTCACTTTTTTTTCTTTGGTTGGGAAATTTTGTTTGGTGAAAGTTGGGAAAATTGAACGATCAGCAACTCAGCATCTCATAACAAACAGATCATACAATGTTTTACCTAAGCTGTTCTGTCCTGGGAGTGAAGTTATACCTGTAAATGCTTACAACAGGGCTATAATAGATGATTATCTCAGTAATCCAGTCTAAATGAACCTTCAATTCCAATGTGTTAGTTGCATTGTCACTGGATGTGTTAATTGAGCCTATTTTGAACTTGTAGTATAAAAAGATGGCTAACATTGTTGTCTTCAGGCATTTTCCGGGTCATTGTCCAGTACTGAGATGAGTGGATCTGAAGAACAGGAAGAGAAATCTGAGACATATAGTAACAACATGACCCAAGCTATGGGTGCTGGTAAGTTCAACCCCATCCTATATGTTGGTTTGTAATTAGGACGACACCTACTGGAAGCTTTCCTTATCTGTGACATCTGTGAATTATGGTGAGTACCATGTTTCATCACATTAAGACTAAATGTGTTCCAACAATGCCCCAGATTTTCTTCAATCACAGTGCACGTATCCTATTCCCAAGACCACTTAAACTGAACGATGTTCTGGAATTGTCTTTCCTGGTTTACTTATATCTGGTTCTGAGATTCTACTAACTACTCTCTTTTAAATAAATTGTGAATACAGTTTTGACCTATAAACATGAATTGGGAATGAACTACAATTTTATCCTTCCAGATTTGATTGTTGGATCATGCCTGCAGGTGATCCCCAAATCTACTTTTAAATTTGCTAATATTTGTCAATTCTAAAATTATCTATAACTTGAATCTTTTCATGTGCAGACTCCTGAAGATGTTGACAAGCTACGGAATATTGGAGTTAAAACTATATTTTGCTTACAACAAGATCCAGATCTTGTGTATCCCAAAAGTATTTTGGAAAGATAAAATATTTGCCTCTTCTATCTAACATCACATTATGCTGTCAAATCCAGCCATAACATGTTTGTGTTTCCAAGTGCACACATTTGATCATTTCCTTTACTATTATTATTAGATATTTTGGGGTTGACATTAATTCAATTCGAGTATATGCAAGCCGGTGTGGCGATATTGAGCACTTACGTGCTCCAATACAGTGAGTTATCAGACATAGTAATTCATTTTGATAAATATCGTTTGTAGATCTTGAGGTATTCTATTTCTAAAGGATGTTTAGTTTTACCGATGCTGACAACTAAGACTAGTCTTCGGTTTTTATTAGTCTGAACACTTGAAGTTGGTGACTTGTTAGGTATTTATGCATTTTATACCATAATCACATAAAAACATTATATCAGCATGAAACTTTATAGCATTGGTCATTTTCTTTATGCTTTGGTGATAGTCAGATCTGGAGAAACTTTCTATAGGAGTCTGGAGATACCAAAGAGGTCCCATATAGAAATTGAGAAACTGTTTGTAAATTGAGCAAGGACTGTGAGTTGGATTTGGAAGGGAGGATGCAGCCCTATGGTGCGGATTTTGTCTTTCAATATCATCATTCACTGCCCTTGGAGGGATTATTATCTAAACACTTTTTTCACTTCTTACCTTACAGTAGATATGGTGCCTGTTTTGGGAGATAGATATGGTTCCAAGAGGACATTTGGTTGGGTGAGAGTAGGCTGAATCTGAAATTTCCGTGTCCATATCTCCTATCCCTTCAAAAGGAAGACGTCTTCTGAAGTTTCTGTTTAGTTCCTCCAATTTGCTTTTAAGTTCTTGGTTTTTGTAAGGACCTTAGAAGAAAATCAGGTATTAGTCATCAAACTACTTATCAATACCACTTGTTTCTACTAAAATTGCAAAAATTACACTTACATAAAATGATAGCAGAACCAGCCAAGTTTGCTACTTGGAAAAATCTAAAGGTGTTAGAAGTTGTAAGCATCCAATTGAAAACCTCAAGATTCTATGGAAAATTATTGTTGAATTATATTATCCCAGTGCCAAATTTGTTGTCTGCACCCTTCTCTTTACTTGTTAACTAAAGATAAAATAGACAAAGTATCGAACACTTCCAAACTATGGAGATTTTTTCAAGGATAGGATCTACTCTTTAGCCCAATTTTTTCACCATATGCTATCTAAGTTTTGGGCTTTGCTTGTTGTGAATCCCCATAATATCTATACTTCAAAAGAGTCCCAATCTTTAGATTTATTTGTCTCTGAAGTCATAAACATTTTGAAACTAAAACCTCTATTTGCAGTACCTCAGGCAATTTGGTGGATGTGTCCGGGCTTGTAATGAATGATAAATGATGGAGCTCACCTTAGGGAACAGCTCAATGATAGGCAAGTTTACAAGTGAGTCTCATGCTATTGCAGTGGGTATAAAAAGGGTGTGGGCCCATAGGAGGTGATGTTTATGCCCCTAGGTTTCAATTTTCAGATGATTTGGCACCATCTTGTCTGAAAGAATAATTGACAAGGATATGTAAGATATAACCTGGAGGAGTGGCAATTTCTATAAAGGGTAATGTGGTTCAGAGGCATACGGCAATCTATGTTGTGGAGACAATTAACTTCAACAGTTAGGTTAGCAAAGATGAAGAGGGATCTCCATTGAAGATTACTACTATTGCTAGAAGGAAGCTCTCAAGGGGAGAAAGGCTAGGAAGTCTCTCACGGTGAACCATTGAAGGTATCACCGTCGAAGTAAAAGGAGGGTGATCTTGACTTTTCTCTTTGGACTTCTTGTTTACCTTTGTGTAATATTTTGATGTTTGACGTATTCCTGATATAGACCAAAAGAATAATTAAAAAGGTAGATAATAGTAAAATGGTACAAACACTAGCTGATTCTGAAACTCAACATGTTAGTCCCTTCGCATTAGCAGTATCAGGCTTATTTTCATGAAGCTCAAATACTATAGGAATCTTTTTTTTTTGTGACTAATTCTATATGAAACAAAGTTGCATACCTCAAATCTTATTTTGGTAAATAAGAATATATCAAGATACATTAGTCCTACTGGCATAAATTTTTATGGTCTTTTGGATCTTCCCTTTTGTTTCCTTCCCTTCTACTGAACACTAAAAGCATGAGAATCCTCACTGATTGATTTTCCATCTCAAGAATTATTTGTGATAAATAGCATTGAACATGAATTAAACAAAAAGGGTGGGGAATTCACTGTAAGTTCAAGTTTTTCACATTTTTATTTACATTAGTTTCTAATTCATTCTTTACAACTGCTTTGCTTTTTGTACTGCCCCCTGATCCATCAATATTATTTGAGATGAAGCAGGGATTTTGATGGCTTTGATCTACGAATGAGACTTCCAGCTGTGTTGAGCAAATTATACAAGGCCATAAAACACAATGGAGGTGTGACTTACATACATTGTACTGCTGGGATGGGAAGAGCTCCTGCTGTTGTGGTAAGAAATTCAGATTTGTTTCTGAAGTATTAGTTAATTTTAGCATTGCCATTTAGCCTAGAGGTTTTCTAAAAGATAATAACTTTTATATCATCCTTTAGCCTTTCACCCCCAAAATTGAGCATTATTTTTTATTCCTTTATTATCCACTCATGTGTTCTATTATTTTGTTTATTTAACATCCTCCGTTTTTTATGATTATCTTTATTATATATGTAGGATGGAAAAATGGAAGGGTGCATCAGGAGTTTTATGTGATAGGATAATACCACTTAGGTTAAAAGGAAAATTTTATAAAACAGTTGCAAGATCAGTTATGATGTATGGGGTAGAGTTTTAGGCAGTCAAGAAACATGTCCAAAAAATGAGTTGGCAGAAGTGTGTATGTTAACATGGATGAGAGTTCGTATCTTCTCCCAACACAAATGCTTCTAACACACTTCCAACAAAATGAGAGTGTGCCACCTGTCCACACATGAGACAACATATTGCATTTGTCAACCCTCCTGCTAATTTCCTAACTCAAAACAAATTTCACTTTTCCCACCATATTGCTCAGAAGTCAGATCCATCAACACCTATGTCCAGCCAATATGAAACACCTACTAACATTAACAAAGAAAGAAAGACAAAACAAGAAAAGAAGCCGAAGTGGCTTCATTTTGTTGTCTCTACATTAGATTGACAGAATTAAAACATAAAAGAGTGAGCATAAAATTTAAAGTGAAGCTCCAGTTTGATGGCCAAAGATCAAACTAAACACAAGCAGCATTTTTAATAGCATTCTCAATTGCACATATGAAAAGTGGACTATTCTATTTGCTGGTAAAATGTTCCCTATAGGAGATGGTAGTAGGAAGAATGTATGTATATATCATATATGTATGTTTCTTTTTACTTAAAGGTCATATATCTAATTGGTTTCATCTTAGATTAGAAACAGAAACCAAAAAGGTTTTCCTGTGCTATTGCATCAATTGTTATGATATTATTATGAGTTAATAAAAGAAATTTTTAACATTAATATAACAAAGGATTTTATTAATTGCAGTTGGCATACATGTCTTGGGTTCAAGGCTTTAAGCTTAGTGAAGCACACAATTTGCTACAGGTGACTCGAATCTTCACTCAGCACTTCTTTTTCTGGTTGGATATATTGTTGAATACCTGTGAAATAGAGCTCTAAACTGTTATTAAGGATGCAGATTTGAAAGAAAAAGATAAATCATGTTTTATGCCTTACCAAAATTACACAAATTTGGTCCTCACTATTCTGGATCCCATGAGTAAAAAATAAGATGAGGGATAATAGCAGGCACTGCACCTTGTTTGTTCCATTTTTTTTATTTGCAAGACATTGAAATGTAATGTGGGACCTGCTAATTTCATGGCCCGATCTCTCTCTTTGATCCCACTGTGTCAAAATGCTTGAAAGGTGCAATGCATCTTGTGGATTTCCAGCTAGCATTCCTCAAGTAACATTTTTGAATCATTAGAAAAGGGTCATGCATATATGCGCATGCACACCACTGACAATGCAAGGTATCTGGAATTACTTCTATGTATGCATTATTACTCGTGTTATTTAAATGGTCTCATCCTTCAAAACGAATTTGCTTTTATATTTAAAAGCTAAAGTAACCAGGAGGTGGATGGTCCTAGCGTCCTACATTGAGTGGGAAGAGGAAAGTGAACCCAATTTGGACAGATATATAGGCCCCTCATGTTCCATGAAGTAAACTTTTTATGGCATTGCTTGCATCATATGGTTTCAAAAAGAAATAATTGCTTCTAGAAATATCAAAACCGCAAATATGAAAGGATTCCACACTGCAAATTAGAGTGGAAGATTTTTGACATTTGTTTTTTTTTTTTTTTTTTTTTTTTGAGAAAAGGTCTTTTTTTGACATTTGGGAAGGTTATTTGATAAGGAGATCCTAAACTTGGAGTTATTCTAGATCTTCAAACAGATGAGAGCAGCTGTATAATGAAATTCATAGAAAATATAACATGTTCACTCGTAAGAGAGAATTAACTCACATACTTCCATAAGCATGGTTTTTCTATGTTATAGGTAAATGTATTTTTGGAATTACCTATCTTTATAAAATTATGCAAGTTTTACCAACTAAAGTAATGCCCATTGAATGTTGGGGAAAGGGAACTGTATTATTGGAGGGGATTCATTTTTCTAAATAAATATTTGTTCTCAATTTCTCTGAATTAGCATGTTGTTTCTTTGCTTGTAGAGTAAACGCTCATGCTTTCCAAAACTGGATGCCATAAGGAATGCAACAGCTGATATAGTGAGTCCTCACTCCTATTCTTTACCTTTGGCAAAATATATTTTGTAGGGTATTTAGAGTTATCTGCATTGTATTTTGTAGCTCACAGGATTTGCAAAGAACCTTGTTACTTTGACATGGGAAGGTAACAACTGCTCCTCAGTGGAAATCTCTGGACTTGATATTGGATGGGGCCAGGTAACACCTTAAAATTACACCATAAAATATGTTCTGCACTTCTTAACATTCTAAACAGTTTTTTATTGTCTATTTTAGCTGTTAAGTTTCTTGCAGTGAGAATGTCTAAAGTCAAGGTTTGCAAATTCAACTTTGGGGAAATTTTCAATGAGTGAAGCATCAAAATTTTGTGGAAATTTCTTTTTCAAAAAAAAATTGTGGAAATTTCGTAGGAACTTCTGAGGAGTGTAAAAGTTTTTCATCTTGATGAAAACATTATGAAAATGAGATTTCACATAGAACCACAGAAAAATATTAATTTAGAAATGGTAAATATTAAAAAAACTAAGAAAATGCAAAAGGAGCCACATATGATGATCATAACAAGATTAAGTACCCACTGAAGCCATGTATAATACGTTACCATGGAAAAACGTACAAAAATTGCAAATCTGAATTAGGTCAAGATATGTCTTATTTCCACCAACATTTTGTTTGTTTATAATAAATGTCTTTTTTGTGGCATTTACATAAAGATCAACATATGGTCTATTTTGATAATAGTATAGTGAGAATCTCATCCACATTATGTAATTATGGAAATGTTGTTTATAGATATTTTAGCTAAAATGGAAATTTTTGTGGTAAATATTAACAAATTTCAGGGACATTAAAAACCATGGTAAGAAACCAATTTCTAGATCAGTCAGTGATTAAAAAGGCACACCTAGGCACACAGGCAAGGTGCATTTCAAGGCGTGCACCTTACCTAGGCCCAAGCACAGCCCCTTTGAAAAGGTGTGCACTTAGTGCACTTTCCTCCTCTGCTCGGGTATGCGCCTCAGCCCAATTTTGCACCTTTTCAAGCTAAGTGATGGACCAATAGCTCCACCTCCAGACCCCTGACCAAGCCCCCTGGGGCAAGCCCTAATAAGTTGATGCCATGGTCCTAAATTCTTGGCCAATATATAAAGAAATTGGTCTTGTAACTTTAGTTGTAGCTCCTTATCTTTTAGGATTAGGATTTAAGAATCAAATGCTGTCTGATGAAGAATGTCTTGTATTATGAGAAAACAACACTAACAAAAAGGGGGGTTCTTGGTTTTGAAACTTGAGTTTCTCTCTGTCTAAAGGAATCTAAAAGGAAATGAGATTACATTAGTTGGATTCATTAACTCCCTTGTTACATCACTGGGAACTTCATCCAATGATTCTTTTCTGATGGCTTTGATTATTTCTTTTTTGAAATTTTTGTAGAGAATACCACTGAAATTTGATGAGGAGCAAAAGTTGTGGGTGCTTGAGCGGGAATTGCCGGTTAGTATATATTTCATATTGTGTAAAATATTTGCACCTTCATTTATATTTCAGTCTACTACTATAACCACATTTGTAGCTGTAGGAATTTTATATCTTCTGCCACTGTGGACTTGTTTTTCTCCTTGTTTTAATTCCTGAATCTTTTCTTTAAAATTTAATTTTTAATATTTTAAAATCCTTTTTCACAATTTTAACTTACAATTGTTGTTTCATTCTGATTATATCATCATTTTCAAACTTGCAGTTGATATTTTAGGCTGAATGTAAATTAACATAGGGATAACTGAAAGTTCTGGAAACATGAAGCATCTAGAGCTACACTTGTACTAAAAGGCCAATGTTCACATTCTCTCATCATATGGAACTCAGTGTCAGATATAAAAACCCTTGACATTTAGTGGCTTCTGGTGTCCAAATTGTTGTTTACTTTGTTAGAACCAATATGTGATTCTTCAGCTGGCAGTACCCCACCCCCTCCCCGTCCCCAGGACCCCATTTTGCTTGTAACAGGTCCCTTGGAATGGAAGACATCTAATCATGAATTTTAATTCTCAAACTCAATCAAGCCTTCTCAACACTGGGTCACTTAGTAATAGAGAATTGTGGTTGAGCTTGATTCTTTCAGAGAGGAAGTCCCTGCTAATGTTTCAGAACTGGAAAAGTAAAGCAGGGTGGTCACTAAGATTGTTCTCTTACAGGAAGGGCACTATGAGTACAAGTACATTGTAGATGGCGAATGGACTTGCAACAAACATGAGCTTGTAACATCCCCCAACAAAGATGGCTATGTCAACAATTATATCCAAGTAAGATTCGCCTCTCTGAAATGCTGATTCTGTCAATTCCAGTACAAGTTCTCTCTGAATATTTATTAAGATATGACAGAATTTATTGTTAACTAATGAAACTAACTGGATATACCCAAACCCATCTGGAACTACTTAACCTTAGGTCCAATTAACTGTCAATTCCTTGTAGGAGTTCATCACATGTTGCCTTTTCTTCTTACAGGTTAGTGATCCCTACAGTACTAGTTCAGAGCTGAGGAACAGGTTGTCTAGTGATGATGCTGATCTTACAACAAAGGAACGGCTTACAATCAGACGGTTTCTAGAAGCTTACCAGGACAATGAAGAATAACTGGTAAAGGTAAATATAAATATGGCCTGCAAAATTGTGAAATAGTGAATTATTAGAACCGTATTGTTCCACAAATAATAAATTTATAAATTTTGAAGCACTGACTACACAAAACATTCTAATATTTGGGTATGAAACTTATTTGCTGCTGCCTTAGGCAGTATATTGTTTCCTTTTTTTATTTTGGTGCAAGAAAATTTTATTAGAGGAGAAAGCCCGAGGAAAGATTACATGGAGGTGCAATCCTCCACTGGGATGTTGGAATGCCAATACATGACGGCAGTGTCTTGTGGTAGGGATGTGAGAAAATGTTGTGGGTATGAGATCTGGAGTGCAACCTAACCTAACTGCCAAAGCCTCTGCTGCTTCCACGAGGAACATCCTACAACATGGAGAGGTTATGGGTCTACTTGCATAATTCCTGATTATTATCCCAGGGCCAGCTGTGGACCGAGCAGGAAGCAAGATGAGATGATGAAAACTAGATTTGGTCAGGTGCTATGTGTGCAGATAAGTTGCAGGAGACCAAGATTTGGTTTGTTTATCGCCAATGTTGCAATTTCATCAAAGGGGAGTTCATTTTTCAGATTAATGTGGGGATCAGGGAAAGTTTATTTTCATGGGTATACCCATCTCCTAGATGGATAAATAACTTTTCCACATAGGAAGAAAATTGTTAACACTTGAATGAGACAAAAATGCCCCTTTTAATAATGGATTTTTATGACTAAAATGGTCATAACCTTATTTACTTGAAAAATAAAAGAACATGCGTAAATGCACTTACCGGGTAAGTGTTTAAATTTACCCAGATAATGGTATTTACCCGGGTAAGTAACTAGGGCCCAAGTGGTAAACGAACCTGAGTGAGTGGATGTCCAAACTGAATTTGGCCCAAAACCAGCCCGATTACAAAATCATTTTAGATTGATGTAGCAGGGAAATATAGAGCATCCTTAACGTACTTGGACGAAAGAAACAGGATCAAAAGAAGTGAAGGATTTGACGGCCAAAATCTGTTCGGTGAGGCTCATGTTGCCGCTAACACTCAAAGACTTCTGGGGGAACACTCTGGGTCTGGGTGAGCCTGAACTGACCTTCATTCATTTAAATCCAATCAAGTACAACGCTTAGCCCATACTATACCATCCCCATGTGTGATGAACCCGATCTCACTGAATCAGATGACCAAGATGGTAAGTTCAAACGCTTAATATATTGATTATAATTTGTGATTTCTGAAAGTCCGCCGGCTGTACATTCAAGTCCTCCACTGTTGAGACTTGAAACCCAGAGATGTTGCTAAATTCCGATACATAGATACGTGCAAGGCGGTGAGATGCAAGATGACAACATTATGCCCTCCTGCCCTCTTGTAGAAATTGTAGTTTAGAATTTAGACACTAAAAATAGTAAAGCAAGTTCCTGGCTTCCTGCTAATTCCCTATTACAGATACAGATGCATATAGATTATTATATTCGTGTGTTTTGATGAACGAGTGACCAGCATCATCTTCCAGTTTGGAGATTCATCTTTAATGATTATCCCGATTCATAAGTGAAGCTCGGGGATCAATGATAATCTAGAACCATGTCCCAAGAGGAGCAAGGCTACTAGGCTACCTCAAGGTTCAAAATTTTGTCACGTATCGGCTGATATGTATCGTTCCGGTAAGTTTTCAGCACGGTACATAGTATCAAATTGAATGTGTCGTATCTATTTGTTGTATCGATGCTGTATCGTGATTGTATCGTTGAGTATCGGTGCATTTTGGCACTGTATCGGTTGATACTTGATACGGTAGCATATCGATTGATACAGTACGATTTTACTGTGACGGAATCGCAAATAAAACTCCCTTCGAAAGAGGGTTTCTAAACCCATTTCAGAAGCCCTCTTTTTTTCCCAAACCCTTCAAAAAGCTTTTTAACCTTTCTAAAGACTCAAATCTTGTAAAAATTTGCCAAAACATCTATAAATTTGCAAGATTCAATAAGTTTTTCAAGGTTGTGAAAAAATGAGCAAAAATAAATATGTTTTTTCAAATTTCTTTTACATTTTCAGCCAATGTTAGAAAAGATAAGGGGAAAGAAAGTGGTTTGCCCCCTGCCCTTTCGGCTGGGGGGCTTCATCCCCCTTTTCAATATAGTCCAATTTATTTTTTTGAGTTAGGGGGGTCTTGCTCCGCTTTGGTGTTCGCTTCGACAAAACCCCTCTTTTAACAACTATTATGCATTTTTATTGTTCTTATTATAAAAGATTTTTATTAAAGATAAAGAAAAAAAAATGAAATCCCCCTTCCTCCTTCCTCCTCTTAAGGAAGCTTTCACCTCCTTGTGTTCGAGAGGCTTACACCTCTTGCATTCTGAACTATGCTTCATGCCTCTAGGTAGTGAAAACGCCTCTATGTTTTAAAACATTGATATTTATTTATTTTTAATTTTTAGAATAAAATATGCAAAATAATTATTTCATCTATTATGTCCATAAATCCATTCAATTTTTTGTTACATATTTACTTTTCTTATTTTTAATTTAATTTTTAGAATAAAACATGCAAAATAATTATTTGAATAAAAATAAATAATTATTTAGTTTTTAAAAAATTAGAATAAAACATGCAAAATACTTACTTGATCCATAATGTCCATAATTAGATAGTATGTTTATGTTCCCAACTTCCCATTTATTGATTATAATATATTTTTTTTCATAGAACCCACTAAAACATGTTATTTTTATGCATAAAAAGCTCATTTATATATTATATTTAGTGATATTAATATTTATTTATGATTTATTAGAGTATTTATAGCATTTCCATGTGTTTACATGCATATCTTAATTTTTCATCCGTATCCATGCGTATCCAAGATATATCCCAATACATCTCTTAAATTTGCCTTTCCGATTCGCATAGTGTTTCCGATACTTTGAACCTTGGGCTAGTCTATTGAGCCTAGAGTAACACCAAAGCACACTTACCTACATAGATTCTGACTCAATCTGTGGTTCAATCAATTTACAGAGTGTCAATCACTTTGAAAGTTTGGGATTGGAACAGTGGTCAAACAAGAAATATCAATTGACCAACCTATCTTTATTGCTCAATACTCAGATATCGCCCATCTTGACTCTAAGAGAATCAGAAGGGTTTTTCTTTCTTCGTTTATTGGAAAAGGCTAAAACTAGACTTGGCAAAAAGTTGACCCAACCTGCAAACCCGACCCAACCCAACCCAAAAAAATAAGGTTAAGGTCTCATATGTAACCCAAATGTGAAAATGACCCGACCCGACCCAAAAAACTGGGTTGGGTTGGGTCATGGGTCAACCCGCTGACCCGAGTGTCAAGTCTAATTAGGATTATTTATGCATTGTTAAAAGTTTCCACTCTTTAATTTTTTCTATTTAATCTTTACTTTTTATTGTTTACTCTTTAAATGGTTAAATGTTCAAGCTTTTATTTTATATTTGAAATTATAAGGTTAATTCTTTAAATTTTGACAGTTTTCATGTATTTTTTCTTTATTTTTTAAATTTCAATTATTTTTTAGAATGATCCAAATTGACCCATGAGTCAACCCTAACCCGAACATTTAGGGTTAGGGTCTAACATTTGACAACCCAACCCGAAATCAACCCGAAATACCTTGACCCAACCCGAACCCGACCCACCCAACCCGATTGCCAGGTCTAGCTAAGAGGACACGACAAGCGAGTCAGAAACACAAATTCGTATCACCCAACTAACAGAGACGAATTGCCCTTTTTTAGGCCTTCCTCTGATGCATCTCGAAACTCAAACAGGAAGCAATTAATGAGGAAACAAGAGGGATTTATACACATTTTGTTTGTACAAGTCTCCCTTGGTGTCCCCAAATATGGGGGCCCTAAAATCCTAAACACTCAAAACCCCTGTTCCCAAAGCCTTTTAAAAACTGAGACAAATAATGCATAGAAATGCTTCAAGGCTTACAATTTATAAACAAAATTAAATGCAAATAAAGAATAACTTACTGAAATATTGAACACAGAAAAACACACAAATATACCAACACCCTATTCACACCCACACGCATAAACACACGACACATTCACCCTGCAGCTGTAGTACATAAAATACAACGCATCCGATATGCACCAGACTGGTTAGTTTCGTCGCTGTCATCATCGCTGTCGTCGTCATAATCATAATTATATTCATAATTCGATGCAGGTTCCTTGGGAGTGGCTCGGGACCCACTCTTATGACTAGCAGAATTTGTGGAGTCCATGAGACATGAGAGGTGATATGCATGACAGCAAAAGAATACTATAACTGAGACATTCTGGATAGAGAAGGGATCAAAGCACATGCAACACCTTCCACCACCCCTTGTTTTCGATTTCAACTCAACAGATTTCATGCTTGATGTTTTCTCAGCTACTTCAGTAGCTCTACTTTTATTCCTGCTTGTCCGTCCTTCCTCTTCTCCACTACCCAAATAAACTCCATGCCGCGCTTCCTTATAAAACTTGACCAAGAGGTTAACACAGTCTGCCTGTCAGTTTGAAACATCAAAAAAACTCAGTACAAGGTTAATTTCCAACAAGAATAGCTCCTTAATAAGTTTTATTCTCTTATATTTCTATGCTAACCAATACTACAGGAGTACCTTAAGGATATCGTTGCATCCATGTCTAAGAGAAGTTTCTGTTCTGTAATCTGTGATGATTTTGACTAAGCGATCTCGAAGCCTACAAAAGAAAATGGGAGTTGACTAAAAATGCAACAAGTGAAGAAGACAACGAAAAACTACCATACAAGATTCAAAAAGCCTTTCTTATTGAGAAAGTATGCATTAAGAAGTCCAAGTGGCAAAGTTATTAGGTCTCTTCTTGCGAAATCAGTATCAAAAGCCATTTTCAAACACCTAGAAGATAATGAGATTTGTTCTAGGAAGGGCCCCGAGGGTGTAAACGACGGTAGATTTGTTGAGACAGGCAACCACATGAGCGCCAGTTCAGAAATTCTTTCTAGCAAGGAACGGGACATTGGTGATCATTCGGAGTTGGTGTTGGGTGTTGCTCGAGGAAGGGACAGAAAAAAGAATGACCTGATGATCCCAAGTTAAAGTTGGTGGCACCCAAAACATCTAGGGGCACCTCTGAAAGTACTAAAGGGATAGGAGTCAGAGAGGCAACTGGAAATGTGCTTTTTGTTGCCGTTGGTGTTTGGTGCAGGTTTTCTGCTGTTTGCTTGTGATTTTTTTTTTTTTTGAGCAGCATATCTGCTTGTTGTGATTGATCTAGTGATTTGCAAAGTGCTGTTGCAAATACTTATGCCCTAACCAAGGGATTTAAGCATGCATATGTTGGCTATAGTGTCTTATGCATGGAGGTATGTGAATGCACAACATGAAATCTATCACTCTCCATGAGAGAGAGGGGGAGAGAGACAATGTCCTTTGCAGCTGAAGTTTATGAGACTTAGGAAGTCCTTGGCCAAGGCAGTATGGTATATGGAGAGTTCCAATTGTCAACATGTAAGTCATCATCACCTCAGTGGGACATATGGCTAAGCCAATAGGGTTTGACATATTCACCATGACCCTTTGCTTTCTCCAGACATTGTTATGATAGAAGGATTTGACTATATGGTATCTGGAGATGGAAAGGTTCAAATTGTCAAATTCGAGCTATTAGGAAAGCCATGACATACTGCTAGGTGTCACTCATGGTTTGTGGAACCCTTGTGAATAATGGTTGTATTAACATTCAATGGAGAATTAAAGAGTTTTAATTCAATTCAGCAAGAAAAAGTATGGAGGGTGTGCTTATTAAGAGGAGTTTTAGTGGAGGGACCTAATTGTAATAATTAAGGACCTGATTGTAATTAGAAGAATCTATTGGATAAATCCTCTCCTAATGAGAAAAAGAGCACAATCTATGTAAGATATGGAAGGGAGCGGTCCTAGGGTTCAAGAATACACTCTATATGCTAAACCTTATCCACCAAAGGATTGCTAGCACAATCTTGGAGCTGCCCAGTCCTCTTTCTCCCTTTCTTCTTCTCTTGGGTCATGATCTACATAGAGAATTGGGAAGTTTGTCTGCTGCTGCTTTGTGTGGACCAATCTTGGAGGCCAAACACTTAAAAGGCTACAGTTAGAATCAAAGTATATCGAGAATTTGCTTCAAGGGATCAAATCTGCATAAGAAGCATGCAATTATATTGATTTATAATTAGGATTTTGTGCATCACCATGGGCATGATCTTGGTTATTCAAGATCCATTAAACTTTTAATGAATCCGATTGCTGGACCTACTAGGGCAAATCCACTTGGACCAATCGCTGGAAGACTCTAGAATTTGGGTAGGCTCTTCAGATGATCTATTCTTGCTCTTCTTTCTTCAGAATATTTACATCCCCTAACCCCCTAGTTAGGGATTTCCATGTGAAAGAAATCTGGTGCAAGGTACACACTTGTGATATGCTACAGAGACACTTGCCTTTCTCCTCATGTGTGCTCTTTGTGTAAGGAAAGTGGTGAGACCCTATCTCATTTAATGATATCCTGTTTTTTTGTGCTTTGAATTTGGGAATTCTTTTGTATTCTCTTTGGCTGCAGGTGGATTCCCCCTCAAGATGTGGTAGGTCTTTTCAATCGTGACTTCTTAAGACAACGAAATAAAAGAGGGATGGTAATGTGGAAAGCAACAAAGGCAGCCAAATGCTAGGTGGTGTGGGAAGAAAGGAATAACAGGATTTTCTTGGAAAAAAGAAGAACCGTAGAGGAAGTGATTGACAGCATCAAGGTGAAAGTAGCTCACCTTGGACAGCTTTCAAGTCTTCTCAGTCACAGACATTTTAAGAACCTGGACTGAAGTAGCACAGTCCTCGAGAGTGAGGGACAAAGGCTGGAGTGGAAACCACCAGAAGGCAATAAAATAAAACTGAATTTTGATGGGAGCTCCCTTGGAAATCCGGGACTATCAAGTATAGGAGGAGTAATCAGAAATTCTGAAAGGAGGATACTGGTTATGTTCTTAGAACCGATTGGCATGGGGAATTCACTGAAGGCTGAACTTTTGGCATTACTACAAGGTTTGAAGCTAGCTAAACAGATGAGATACAGGCATATTGAGGTGGAAGGGGATTCAAAAGTGGTCATTTCCTGGGCTGCAAACAGCAGCCATACCCCGTGGACGTTTAAACAAGTGACTAGGGAAGTGGAAAAAAATTGCAAAGGAGGTTGAGGCTAAATTTAAATGGGTCCAAAGGAGTGCAAATGGGTTAGCTGACTATCTAGAAAAACAAGGGGCAATGAGACAGCAATTATTTTGGGTTGCACTGTAATGAGGGATGGAAAAGAGTGTTTAAATGGGATCATCATTCGCATCACCAAGTTGTATAAACTATTTCCAATCTGAAATTTAAATAAAATACATGTTTACTGATAAAAAAATATGTTATTGACTGTACAACCAATATTTCCACTATAAATACACAAACATGATATACAAGTAACCAGATGGAATGTACAAATCATAGTACAAGCAGGTAAGTGGCGATAATACAGACCTGGGTATCCTTAAACCATTAGGCACCATATTTACAATATAAAGTGGGTCAAGATTACCAACAGTGTGCTCCAACAAAACACCCACCTGCCAATTTTTCGGAAGCATGTATTAATAGATTTCCAAGTTTAATTGTGAAAATGCCCATTTTCATGATTTAATATGTAATTGAACTATAATTTACCATCTCAGGCTTATTAAAACACTGTTTAATTAGTTCTTCCCAAAGTTCATCATCATGCTGCATTGACACAAACTCTATTGCCTGTAAACATTCACAATACTTTATTCATCAATCCCATAATTCAGAACATAAGATAAGTAAGAAAACAGTGAAAAAAGACTTCAAGAAGAAGAAACTCTTTCAAAATTAAAGCAAAAAAAAATACCTCTTCTATGTCCTCTAACTTGTTAATGATAATGGCAAGGGCTTGTTTTGAATTCCCCATCCTTCCAAGGATAAAAACCTGTTCTCTCAGAAGATCTCTTTTGACACAGATATCATATGCCTGCAGTCAAACATCAAGACATTATTCAATGAAGTTAAAAGGTCAAAAAGGAACCACATGGTCATAATGCAAACCTTCTCTAGTGTATAGTGCTGACTACTACGAAGAAAAGGAAGCAGCATCTTTGGATCATACTCTGCATAGAGCTCCACCTGTCAATGCAAGATGGACAGTAGTACAGTCAGTAACAAAGCAGGCAAGTAGTAAAACAAAATTTATTAAAAGAAAAAAGAAATTACAGGAAAGGTAACCAGAGGTTACCCAAGAGAAGAAAGAAACCTTCACCCTACCACAACCCAACAAACAAACTGCACAAACCAAAAGAAAATTGATAAAATCCAAGCAAGCCACAACAATTGGGCATACAATCAAAACCAAAATGAAAAATCAACCCTCCATCTCAAAAGACAGACTACCAACCAACCCTACATCAAAACATCAAACCCCTAACAACTGACAAAAACCCTACAACAATTAGACCCTTGTCTCTAGCTACCAAACAAAACTTTGCTCAATTGCTCAGCTTCAACAGTGGCTTGATCAGGAATCTCTTTACCTCTCTTACAAACTTACTAAGACTACATGCAAACTGCTTTAGTGCTTGACTTTCTTTTCTGTTTTTTTTTTTGGATCAATAACCAACCAATTTATGAATTAAATAATTTTATCTCCCACTCTAGCCATTTATCCAAACAAAGTTACAAAGTTGCTCAAAAGGATTGCTCTCTCCCCACCCTTTGCTTTGCAAGTGAACCAATCATGCTATTTGCATCTCTTTGAACCCATTGGATTCTCACTTCCATATTTTTTTTTTATCAGTAACAACTTCCAATTTCTTGTTAGCCATCTGAATTTCTTGGTTTCATTTCTGTAGGCCCAAAGAGCCGCACCATCCTTTTGCAACCATCCAATCACCATTCTCAAGTCACCTTCAATAATTAACCTGTTCAAGTTCATCAACCTTGCCCTTTGTACTCCTTCCAAGACCACCATTACTTCAGTCCCTAGAGAATCACCTCTACCAATCGGTGCTGAATATGTGCCTATAATGTTGCCTTCCTCATCTCTGAAAATGCACAAAGTTAAGCTTTATAAACCCTCTCTCTGGTGTTGTCCATTACATATCAAAGTCTTCCTCATTGAGGTCACTACAACGTCCTTCCAGTTTCTAACAATATCATATGCTGTGTAGGATGAAAAGCTCTCCATGGTTTTGATCCAATGAATCCAGGTAATTCGTCTTTTTGTTTCTTGAAATTTTCTCGATTGGTTTACCAATACTAACTAGTCCTTGGTTGCCTAAGGAGCAGGCACAAATTTTTTTTCAATGTCTTTCCCAAGTAGGGAGGTCCAAATCACACTGGTATAGAAGTAACAAGAGTATGGGCAAATTATGTTGGTACAATCTTACTTGAATAGTACAAAGACTTGTTTAAATAATCCTTGGTTAACACATGATATTATACCACTCCTACTGGAACCTTCTACTGAAAATGTCACATAATCAAGAAAAATAAGCCCTAGCTGCCAAAGTGAAACCATTATCCCTTCCTGTTTGAAAATGTCTTAATCATGTCAAGCCCCAAAATGGAAATTGTTGATGAATGCATGTAACACTAAGGAGCACCTCCTATGACTAGAATTTTGGGCATCAAGAAAAGTTAGGGCCTAGCTACCAAAACAAAAATATTATATGTAACTGAAACAATGCTCTATACTTTGATTCCAAGTTTCCAACATCAACTCCATTCCAGTTTAAGATTTAACTGAGATCAGGAAGTTCAAAAACTTTCATCAAAATATTGGGAAACTGAGCATGGCTTCATTAAATTGTATCTACTTTTCAAACTGCCTCATGTTATCAGAACTGTCTGGAATTTTCATGAAATAGCTAGAACTGAACATAAATGAAAAAGTAGAACAATAGAAATCTGAATGAGACTACATGGTTACAGTGAAAATGGCCAAGATCCCATCTTTGCACATACCTGCATATCATGGAAGTCCTTTCCAGCATGTGGATTAACTTCGAACAGTGAATGAAGATACAAGTGTAAGAAGTATCTGGAATCACACTTATTACTGGTATCTAAAAGTTGTGAAATCACTTCAGATGGAGTAATCAAACCCCTATGTTGGATCAGTAAAGAGACTGCACGTCTGCAATCCACTAACATTAGTTGGACAACCTACAAAAATAACAAGAATAAGATAGTTTTAAACAGATATGTAGTTTATGTGATCAAAATTGGAAATATGAATGTGGCCTACAAGATATAACAAATGCATGTTACTGTATACAATAAAGCTCAAACCAAGACAAGATGTCAGTTCTTTAAAGGAAAATATCTATAAGTTTTTGTTTTCTTTAAAAACTACTAAAATGTTGAGCAACTTTGCAAGAATTGACATTACTATACCTTGTCAGAAATGGCATCATGCAAATTATGTTTGTCGATGAAGTCAAATATATCAGGCTTCATAAGCTGAAAAAGTGAAAACAAAAGACATAAGCAAATCAAAATACAAGTATGCCACAACTTTACAGTGCATTTTTTAGTTACCCAGCGCATGGGTGTATTTATGTTTGCATGTGCATTTAGAGCACTTACATCGGCATATAATGCAAGAGATTTCTCATATTGTTCATTGATTACATATAACTCCGCCAATGCCTGACAACAGAAGGAACATAATGAGGGATAGAAATTAAACACTTATTTTGAAAAAATAAGGGTAATTTGTAATAACTATATGCAAAATTTAGAGAATTATAATTGATGACACCTTACCTCTTTGAGAGTCTCAGTCATAGATGAAGTATTAAGCTGAGGTTCTATTGCTGATATCACAGGCAATGCAGAATATATTACTGGTGGCCAGGATTTAACAGTTGCCAAGAGGTCCTTGTGAAAAGATGGATTCGTTGCCAGGGCTACAAGTGCCACCTATGCATAACAAAAAATACTTGCAGGGTTAGGTTTTCCATAAATCAAGACATCTGTGTGCAAACCAAACCCAATGAAACTTAAATTTAATTATAAAGCTCATAAGCAGTTTACAGACCTCATAAGCAGTATCACGCAATCTTGGGTTTTCTGTTGGGATGTATGGAACCAACACAGGAAGCTGGCGAAGTTGAGCAAAGTGGAAAATCCACCTATGAGAAAGAATCTAGTTACTTACAAGAAATAGACAGAAAATCATAAGAGTTATTTTCTCGTCTTTCCCTTTTTATACCTCTCCCATGAAGAAGCAGATCCACGTAACAACTTTGGACACAACATTGCAGCTTCAGCATATTTCCTTTCCAAAATCAAATGATCTAGATATCTTGATCCCACCTGAAGATAAAAGGTATAAAAACAAAAGAATATAAAATTACTAAAATTTCAACTAAATTAATCCTGTGCAATAATAAACAATGGTAGTATCCATAGAATTTATTGTCAGATAAGCTGTTAGTTGATCTTTAGGTCCAAATAAATGTCGTTCTTAACTCCCTTGCCATCTGAAGAATTTCTCTCATCATGTATCTATATTGCCAAGAGCCAGTGCCACCATTTTTTGTCCATTCATTAAGGAGGCACATGTTTATCAAAAAGGGATGTGCCAAATCACCACTTGAAGAATTAAAGCTAAATGCCACTCAAGCATCATTTTATAAATTTTTACTAAAGTAAAGTGCAGAAGAGAAGCACAAGACAATTTCTTTTTATCAATGACGTATGGAGAATTTTAGAGGTAATGAATATAGAAGAACTAAACGAAACCAATGAATTCAAGACACCTCATCAAGAAGCTCTGTCCGCCCCTGTCCTGCTTCAACTGCAGCCAATGCTTTTTCATGCCATCCATGTTGAAGAAGCCAAGCAATGTGGTCTTCAGCATCCCTAAAGATAAACATTAGATTCCCAAGTCAATCATCCTCTGCATTTTTGAGAAAATGGTTCCAGATATAAAAGAGCAAGAACCAAACAGGCAAACACCCAAATAGAGAACCCTGTGAGGACATACCTATCATTTTTTTTGAAGAATAATAATAAAAAATTTATTAACAGAAAAAAGATTACAGAAAGGAGGTGACACGATGGAACCTACAAAGACGCAGCAACTATAAACCAGCAAGAGACATACTAATGACTGTTATATTTCTGGATTTCAAGTGCATTCCCAAAATTTGCCCCTGTAGAGAAGATGGGCCGAATGGCCCATAGGTTGTTTATTCCTTCTTGTTATTTATGTTTTTCTGTAATGGGCCTTATTCTGGGCCCATCTTGTCTATATTAAGTTCTTTGTAAATTCTTGCCCAACTAAGGGCCTCCTTGTAATTATTCAAATATATCTTAATAAAA